ATATTGCGGTCATGTATTCAACTGTACCTCCAAATTTAAAGTGGGTTTATTATTACGAGCCAAACAAAAACTATGGCCTACAGTTCGCCGGGGGTCGGGTTCCCGATCAAAGTGGCAAAACATTGGGAGGCAGTTCAGCGCTTAATGTTATGGCATTTAATCGGGGTAATAGTCGTGGGTATGACGAGTGGGCCCACAAGTACGGCGCCGACGGTTGGAGTTATAGGGATGTGTTGCCGGTGTTCAGGGAGTGGGAGAACAATACGGATCCGCGTATTGTATACAATGAACCCGAATATCACGGAACTCACGGACCCATTCAAATCACAACACCAAATAATGCGCCAACGTTTTTTCAAAATTATTACAAAGCATTCAACTCTTTAGGATATAAAGAAACTGATATCAATGGCCCGAATCAGGCCGGGTATGCACTCATACAGTCTTTTATAAACACGGCTGGTCTTAAAGAGGGAACGGGTACTGTGTTTATAGACCCGAACCCATCTCCAGATAACCTGCATATAGTGTGCAAAGCATTGGTCACTAAAATACTGTTCAATGGGTTGACAGCCATTGGCGTCGAGTTTATAGTGAATGACATCTCGTATACGGTTTACGCCAACAGAGAAGTCATTGTTTCCGCCGGTAATTATTGTAATGATTAATAATTTAATTTAAGACATAATTTTAATTTTTGTAAAATTTAAGTTATTATAAATCGATAATAATTTACACAATTACTTAGGAGCCTTTCAAAGCCCACAATTACTAATGCTCTCAGGCGTGGGTACGAAACAACACTTGAATAGCTTTAATATACCGGTTGTGTTGGATCTACCGGTTGGACAGAATTTCCAAAATCACCCGGAAGTGTTTTTAAACCCAATATTAAAACAACAGTATTTTTCTCAATTAATTAATCCAACACCAGAACTAAATGTAGAACAACTGAAAATTTTGAGTCAGTTATATTTTAAACACCAAGGCACTTTGTCAACTTTCCCTACAATTATTTCATACACTAGCACACATTTAAACCGAGACAAACAGTGGCCAAATGTGGAGTATGCAATTCTTAGATCAAGTAACATTACATTTACTCATGTTGTGTCCTTAGCACGATTTAAAAGCAGGGGAGTTATGAAGTTGCAGTCAACTGACCCCCTATTGCCCCCTCTCATTGATCTTAACTCGTATTTAAATGCCGAGGATAAGGCAAATATATTAGATGCCGTTTCACAAGTGTTTTACATGTATGAGCGCACACTACTGGCCAATTATTTGCAACAATTGCCGCCATTTTCATCCATTGGTTGTCCCGACTGTCCGGACAAACAGTATTTGTATGAATGTATTGAGGGATTGAAGTGTTTTATTCAATACAATACAATCGCTGGCAATCATCCGGCGGGCAGTTGTCGTATGGGAGCGATAGAGAGGCCGGACGTTGTGGTCGACCCCCAGTTGAGGGTTAACCATTAATCGGCATTCTTGAGAGAATAATCTCGGAGTGAGTTTAAAACTTTTGGCTAAAATCAGCGGTTAGTGACAGTGCTAAAAAATTTCAACTATGCCTCAACCAAACATTTGAGTAAATTTTGAATTAATCCAAATGTGATTATCATGTCTGGTGTCCGAGCAGTGGATTTTCAAAGAGAGGTCACAACAAAAACTCTCCCAGAAGGTGAAACGTGT